GCCTTTTTTAAATAAAAGCAATGCCACTTACTGATAAATATTCTGTAACTTTTGCATTGTTGTGAACTTGTTCTGCCAACCTTCAAGAAAAGAAAATACAGTTCCTTAGTTAATAGCCTCAAAAAAGTCCATAAAAGTAGAGCACTCAAAAGCTTCTTTTGTTTGGTAGTTCTAGGCAATAGCAATCTGGAAAAATCCTTTATTTGCCTCAACGCTTTGGTACAGATCCTAAAGATCTGTAGAAACCCACAGCAGTTTTCTGTAACTTAAGTGGCTTAATTTTGCACAAAACATTCAAGTGGAAGAAGGGTGATTTTGTATCAAAAGTGCATCCAAAATGAGGCTGCTGCTGTTATTTTCTTGCAAATAAAAACCAAATATTATTTACTTCTCTGTTTTTCAGATGATCGGGAGAATTTATTATAGTATGAAGTGTCCTGCTTTCCAGGTAAATGACTTATGTTTTTTTTTTTATTAAATAGTCATTTTCTATTCGGTGCAACACTAAAAAAGCCTTAAATCACATAAGGGTGTTATGAGCCACTGTGGCAGCAGGGATGCCTCAGGCCATCTAGTGGCATAGACCATAAAAGTCAATGCACACTGCTTCCTTTAGTGTCTTGGGTTGGATGTCTACTGCTATTTTCTGTAAAGACACCTTTACCCTGCCGTTCTGATTCTCCACCCTCTGCTAAACACTGCTGGGTTTGACCTACATTCAGCCATTTTCATGACATATCCAGTCCAAGAAAATGTTGCCATATCTTCCCTTTGGTTCTGCCCACCCCTATGTGTCTATGTGGTTTCTTCCCTAAACTTGTTAACCTTAGACTGTTTACTGTCATTCCTGAGGTCTTTAAGGGCGTGCATAAGCGGATCAATGTGCCTACCGCCCCTGTCCTAATCCTCCCTTTTATTCTTATCGATTTCATGTATTAATAATCATGTTTATAGTTATAGCTGTTATCTAATACATGCTCAACAAATAAAATAAATAAAATATAAATAAATAAAATTTTGGGGTAGACTGTGCCAAGATTAAGATGCCCTTACAAAATTTAATGAGCACAATTATCATCTCTGGCTTGTACGCCACCCTGTGGTGTGGCAGGAGATAGTCTCAATACAGCAGACCTTTTCTTGTGATGAAAAAGGAGTTGTCAGTTTTGCTTTCCACCACCTCAGGGAGGTCTGATCCTGTTCTTGCCATCTAAGGATGTACTACCCTGAACTTCTGTAAACTATTTTCTTCCCAGAGGCTCTACTTTCATGCAGTGGTGGGATTCAAAATTTTTTTACTACTGGTTCCATGAGTATGGTGTGGTGTAGCGTGGTGGGTGTGGCAGGGGAAGGTTACTGCAAAATCCCATTCCCTCCCCAACCCACTAACCTGCTTTCCAGCTCCGTTCTCCTGTTGCAGGGCAATGAAAGAAGACACAGCCGCTCAGCTGGGACTCGGGAGGCAGAGAATAGATAGCAGTGGGGCCAGTCAGAGGTGGCATTTGCCAATTCTCCGAATGACTCAAATTTTCCGCTACCGGTTCTACAGAACTGGTCAGAACCTGCTGAATACCACCTCTGCCTTCATGCCATCTGATTACTGTAGGAGCTTCTGGTGGCTAGATTTATCATCTATGTTCTTAGATGCCCTCCCATCTTGCTTTGAGTCTGGACCTGAATTAAATTATTCTGCTCCAGCTGTATGTTCTTACAAGGGTGTCTCTATACTTTCTAAAAGATGGTGTCTTTCACTTAAAATGAAAATGTCCATGTTGATCCTTTCGTCCTGATGACAGGGACTTCATTATGTGTTCTGCTAAAACTTCCTGAATAGAATATAGTAGGTATAGATCTCCATCACTTTTCCAACCTTGTCCCCTTTAATGGCCTTATTTAAAAAGTCAGTGCAGCTTTTCATCCCCATATCTCTCTTTTCTCACATCACACCTTCCATAATTCTTAGCTGTCAAACAAAAGGTAAAAGTTGAAGCCTTACCACATTTGTATAAAAAGAAAAAAGCTAGGTGAACCACATAACTGCCTGTTGACATTATGCTGGTCAAATCCAAGGTGTATATATTTGTGTGCTTTTACTTGAATGGCTTTGAAATGAATAAAAATATAAAGCGATATGTATACAATGCACAGATTTTAGCTTGAGAAAAGTATGGCCTGTTAAAAGAACCTTTAAATTCATGTTTTTGACATAAGGAAGAATGCTTGTATTATCACAGGCTTAGCACAGTAGTTTCACTTCACAAATTCAGTGAAAAGGGCAAATTAAGAATAGTGGAAAAATCAAAAGATTTTGTTCCAGGAATACCCCATCTTTCTTCCTAGAGATCAAGGTTTTTTTTAAAAGACAGATCCCCCACCCCCCTTAATTTTATCACCAGAAAGAAATGGCATGTAGTAGGTTGCACTGTAAAGAGAGTAAGCTTCCTTGGGCTTCCCACCTTAATCACTACATCACTGGTTTGTAAACTGTTTAACCCAATTACCCTTTTCCCAGTTTCAAATGTGATTACTTCCACAAAAAGAATAGATTCTGTTGTTTTCCACAAGCATCTTGGCAGTAGTAGGTCCAAATTAGATCCTTAAGTCACAAACAAGCAGTTACAAATTGCTCCATTACCCCAGGATATGCCAAAATTACCTTCAGTTTAAGAACCACTGTACTATATACTACATTGGTCAGAAACATTTAGCTTTATACAGGAATCCTCAGGAGTGTATGTATCGACACAGTGTGTATATCAACAACTCTGTAGACTCAGAGCTATATTTTGAAACATCAGCCAGACTGGTGAAGTTTTCTTTTATAATAGATTGGGACATTGTCTGAATCCAAGTTGTTGGGTTCCCTCTTATTGCTGGCTGCTTCCAATAAATGCATTTGACATCCTTTCCTAAACTTCTGCCTCGATGCCATGTCAGTTTAAAGAAGATTTTGCTTTTCTGCAAAGGAAAGGAGTTAACTGTGAAGCATATATATATATTTTCATAGATTTTCACGGGTACAGGTATGTAGGTCTAGGTGTGTTCGGGTCTTTTCCCATGTAAGATTAAGAGTATCTTGGCGACGTTTCAGCAAGGTCCCACTCGCCATCCTCAGGCTGGTGCTTTCGGCTTGCCTCAGGGTACCTCTTGATTGGTTGATGGAGTTGATGTTGGTATAATGGGCTGTGTGATGGCCTTGTGAGTTTTGTTGTGGAGATATCCTGGATCTTGTGCTGTAATCTCCTGGGTCATTTGTTTTGTAGTGATCTTTTTTCATTAGCCTCTCGTATTTTAACAGCTTGGATAATGCGTTGTGTGATGGGCTTGTGAGTTCTTTTGTTGTGGTATCCTGGGTCCTACTTTGTAATCTCCTGGGTCATTTGTGTTTTGATCTCTTTTCCATTAGCCTCCTGTGTAGTAACGGCTTGGGTAATGGGTTGTGTGATGACCTTGTGAGACTTCTTGCTGTGGTATCCTTGGACTCATTTGTTGGTGAGGGCTAGCTTCCAGATGTCTGGTAGGCAGGAGGTATCGTCCGGTCTATTCATGTTATGGGGGTGTTTCTCTATCTCGATGGCTTCGCTGATTATTCTCTTGCTGGAGTGTTCAGTGTTGGATATTAATTTGGTTCCTTCAAAATTAATTTCATATCCTGAGGCTTTAAGGTGCTAGAAGAGGGAGGAAGTATTTTCTTCTCTTCTGACTGCGTTTTTGTGCTCTGCGATGCATGCATTTATTCTTCTGTTGGTTTGTCCAATGTATGTGGCTGGGCAATTGTTGCATGGTATTTCATAAACTCCTTGGTTTTCTAGCTGGATCTTGTCTTTGGGGTTTCTTAGGATGTTGGCTATTTTTTGGTCAGTGCCAAAGGCTGTCCTGATATTGTGTTTGTGGAGAATTTTGCTGATTTTGTCTGTGGTGCCTTTGATGTAGGGGAGGAGTGCGATACTGTTGTCTTGTTCTGTGTCTTGGTTTTTTGGGGGTATCTCTTTTCAAATTAGATTGGTGATAGTGTTTCTTTGGAATCCACTGGAAATTAATGTTAGTGAGGGTGTGTAGTTCTGTTCTCAGGTGGTCTTTGTCAGCTAGGCATTTGGTTCTGGAGATGAGGGTCCTGGCTATGGAATTGATCTGTGCAGGGTGGTGATGGGATTGTGCATTTAGGTAGCGATTGGTGTGTGTTTTTTTCTGGTAGATGGTGTGTCCTAGGGAGCCATTGAGTTTTTTGTAAATTAGGACGTCCAGGAAGGGAAGTTGGTTGTTGGTTTCTGTTTCCATGGTGAATTGTATTTTGGGTTGTAGGTTGTTAAGATGTGTGAGGAGGTTGTCCAGTGGCCAAATTACGAAAGTGTCATCTACATATCTGAGCCAGAGTTTGGGTTTGTGTTCAGATTTGTCTAGAGCATTGGTTTCAAAGTGTTCCATGTATAGGTTAGCGATGATGGGTGAGAGGAGTGATCCCATAGGTGCTCCTTCTATCTGTTTGTATCTTTGTCCATTGTGGATGAAGTATGTGTTGGTAAGGCAGTGGTTGGTCAGATCTTGGATGTGTTTGGGGTGGGGTTGTATTTGTTTTGGATGGCTGTCAAGGCTTCTTTGATGGGTACTTGGGTGAAGAGGGATATGACATCGAAGCTCACGAGTAGGTCGCTGGGTTGTAGGTTTTGTTTCTTTATTGTTTCTATGAAGTGGAAGGAGTTTTGAACATGTGAGGTGATGGATTCTGTGTAGGGCTGGAGTTGTTTGGCAATAAATTTGGCAAGATTCTGTAGAGGTGAGCCTTTGGAGCTGACTATGGGTCTGAGTGGAATTCCTTCTTTGTGTATCTTGGGGAGGCCATAGAGCTTAGGGCATCTGGATGATTTTTCTCTGGGGATGATTCTCTGTTGGATCTCTTCGCTGATGGGAGACACTTTTATTTTGGATTTGGTGTTTTTTTCTAGGTAGGTGGTGGGGTCAGTATTCAGAGGTTTGTAAGCAGGGTCTTGGAGTAGGTTGGATAGTTTGGATTGGTAGTCCGATGTGTTCATTATGACTGTGGTGTTGCCTTTGTCTCCTGGGAGAATGATTATGTTGCTGTCTTTCCTCAGGTTGGTGAGTGCTTTTTATTCTTCTCTGTGTAAGTTGCTTCTGGGTGGGTTGCTGGAGCAGAGGACGTTGGTGACTTCAAGTCTGATTTTGTTGGCTGCATCTGGGTTGATTTTGGTTAGGCTCGCTTCAACTCCGCATCTAATGTTTTCAGTGGGGATGCATTTGGGGGCGACTGCAAAGTTGAATCCTTTGGAAAGGACATTGGTTTCTGCTATGGTGAGGGTTCGGTCTGATATGTTGGGTACTGTTTGTTTTATGTGCTGTTGTGGGGAAGGGTTGGGTTTCTGGCGTTTCTCTGGTCTGTGGAGTTTCCTGGTGTGTGTGTCTGTCTTGTGGGAGGTTTCTATTTCGGCTCTCCAGAAGGCTAGTTATTTGGATTTGTTCCAGAGTGCTGGGTGGATTTTGTTGCTGAGTTTGAGATGGAGTGTGAGTAGGTCTCTGTTGGTTTGGTTTTGGAGGAATCTTTTCTTATGGAGTTCATTTCTGATTAGGGCTAATTCTGTTCTTTTCAGGATCCTTTCAGTGGCTGAAGTTTTGGAATGGAATTTGAGTTGGAAGCATGTGGGGATCACATTTTTGTCTCGGCAATTGTGTAGGAATGTGAGATCACATAAGATGGTGGCTCTTCGGACTCGAGTTTCTCATAGGTCCTAGTTAGCCGGAAGGTTTCCTCCCCATACAGGTACGACATTAGCCTCCCATGTTCTAATGTAAAAGAGATCAAAACACAAACAACCCAGGAGATCACAACGCAGGACCCAGGATACCACAACAAAAGAACTCGCAAGCCCATCACACAATCCATTACCCGAACCATTAAAACACGGGAGGCTAATGGAAAAAAGATCACTACAAAACAAATGACCCAGGAGATTACAGCACAAGATTCAGGATATCTCCACAACAAAAATCACAAGGCCATCACACAGCCCATTATACCAACATCAACTCCATCAACCAATCAAGAGGCAGTAGCGCAGCCAACCAGCCCAGCACACCAGCCCCCAACACCAGTTTTTATAGAGACAGCAGCTCCAATCACACACTGCTTGCACTGGCACAAAGCAAAAAGCACCAGCCTGAGGATGGCGAGTGGGACCTCGCTGAAACATTGCCAAGATACTCTTAATCTTACACGGGAAAAGACCCGAACACACCTAGACTTGTATGTATGTATGTATGTATGTATGTATGTATGTATGTATGCATGCGTATAAGTATAAGTATATGTATATGTATATGTATATGTATATGTATATGTATATGTATA